GGTTCTCAAATATGGTTATTTGTGTTCTCCAAGCCAGAAAGGGAGGGAAAGCTACTCCAGCAAGATGGGAGCTACAAAACCATACAATTTTATGTAACAGAATCACATACACACAATCACATGTATTTTATTACTTTTGTCATATTTCATTATTAAAAGTAAATAAAAATTCTTGTCCACACTCAAGACAAGGGCATCACTAGGGCATTGATACCAAGAGGCATAAATCATGAAGATACCTTAATAATCTGCCCCCCCACTTCTATTCATAACATCACAAGTTTCCCTCTTTTGCGGTGCTGAGGAACCATTTATAGAACATCAAATTATTCTACCTCTGAAGATTTGTTAGAATGTTACTGAGGAATTAAATGGATTTGAAATATTTTGTGTGGAATTTCTGCAATGGTTTTTTATTGTTGTTTCTTCTAAGGGATCAGTCTCTACAGTTCCTCCATGTAATGGTGTCAAGTTTGGTAATCTGTATTCCTTTAGAAAATTATCCATTGCATCTAGGTTTTGTAATTGATATCCTTAAAGATCTGCTAATTGATTCATATCATTTTTAAAACTTCTTGTTTCCATGTTTATTTTTCTTTTGTTATTTCTTATTTTGCTTATGATTCTTTTTCTTTTTTTCCCATGATCAGGTTAGTGATATATAAATGTTAAACTTTCAAAAAGGAGCATTTTGAATCATTTAAAAAAATCTATTACTATAAACTCTTTTCTAATTTATTAATTTATGATTGTCTATTTATTACTTCCTTCTTTGCAGTTTCTTTGGTTTCCACTTCATTGTTGTTTATGAAGTTTTGTTTTAATCTGGAATATTAACTGTTTATGTTCTTCCTTTCATTTTCACTGACAGAAGTGTTCAGTGCTGTGAATTTTTCTCTAATTACTGCTTGAAGTTTTCTTACAAATTCTAAGTTCAATTTATCATTACTATTATTTATGTGAAATTCTATTATCTCATTATTTTCTCTTTCAGCTGGGAATTTTTTAATGAAAGATTTACTCTCCAGGTGAACAAGATTTTCTGTCTTTTGTTAGCAATTTTTAGCTTTAAAGCATAACAATAAGAAAATCTTTTCAACAGTATTTGTAGAAAACCCAACAAATAGTTTGTGACCTGACATATGATTAATTTTTTGTGTATTTTCTATGAAAGCTTGAGAAGAAGGTATGTTCTCTACTACCTGTATAGAGGTGAATTTATAGCACTGAAAACTAATTAAACTAAATAATTACATTTTTAGTTCTTCTCTCTTTTTACTTACTGTTTTCTTTTTGATCTGATATATTTGATCGGAGTGATATATTAAAATTGTCCCTTGTTACTAGTGTATTTCTATCTAATTCTTCTTGATAGAAAGATCTAGTTATATGTATTTTTCATAAAAATAGCTTGTTTTTAATATGCAAATAAAATATTCAGAAATGTAATATATGTATCACTAGTTATTGCTTTGCAGAAAAATATTGGAGTTAAATTCCTAAACTACTGCTATTTTCTTACATTACCTATAATTATGCTGTATGAATATTTAACAGAATTTAACGCTGAAGACCTCTGAGCCCAGATTTTTCCTTTTGCAAAGGTAAATTTAATTATAAATTCACTTTCTTTACCAGTTATGGTACTATTCTGATTTATTTGAATTAGTGTTGGTAATTTGTGTGTTTTAAAAAAAACTTTTTATTTCATTTATGTTGTGAAATTTATAGGCAAAAAATTGCTTCATAAGATCCATTTATTTTTGGAGCCAGTAGAATCTATAAGGTGTTGCTTCTTTCATTTTTCAGATTGATAACTTGTATTCTTTCTTTAATATTCTTTATTCATTTTTCTAGATTTTGTCAATTTGATCTGTTCAAATTTCTTTCTTTGAGTATTGCTGATTTTTCTATCATTTATTCTTTTCTATCAAATTGATTCCACTCATGTCTTTATTTTTCTTCCATTCTTCTTATTGTATACTTAAATTTCTCTTCCTTTATAGATTTTTTTTTTTCATCACGCACTTTGCTTGGTAGTTTTATTGGCCCCACCTTTGAGCTCATCTCAAAGAACATGGGGATTTTGCTGCATGCCCGTGATTACCTTGGAAATACCCCACTGGTCTTTCAACCTAGACTGGTGTGGCTTTCTTTTTTTTTTTTTTTATTTTTAACAAAGCTTAGAGCATTGACTTTTAAAATGTCCTTTCTTTTCTAATATAATTAAAGGCACAAATTTTCCTCTAATCACTTCTGCATTGGTAAATCTACATTTGTTATGTTGCATTTCTTTATTAATCACTTTAAAATATTTTTCAATGCCCCATGTGATTTCTATTTTATTCTATGTTTTTTTTAGAGGGAGTTATGTCCAAATTCAGAAAGTCTCTGTCTTTTTGTATGTAAGACTCTCTTATTCCATCCAAGAGACATCCTGGCAGTGAGGGAGACAGGTGGGAAATCTCACTATCCCACTACTCCACCAAAAGACATAGAGGACATGGGCCATTGAAACTCTTTCTGTACTTTCAGGCGACAATGGCAGGGACCAGTGGGAAAACCAGTGGTCAGGAAAAACCAAATAGCTCAAAATAACACTGCAACAACTCTGGAAACTATGAATCATAGCCACAAAATCTATGTGTTAAATCTACCCAAAGTGACTTACTGCTTTCTTAAAAAACAGATTTAAATAGAACCAAGATGCCTTTAATTCACAACATTTCTCGCATACCATCATGCCAAGAAACAAGAAAGTTAAAAACCAATGAGAAAGATAATCAACTGCAATTAACACAAAGTTAATCAAATATTCAAATTATTGAAACAAGTTTTAGAGTAGCCATCATAAGAATGTTTCAATAATCAAATTCTCTTGAAAAAATGTATTTCTTCGCAAACAGTAACCACTAGAAAGCTAAAGTGGATATAATAGTACCAGATTAAATAGATATTGAAAGAAAAATTTTAATAGAAGGGAAGAATATATTGTAATCACAAGTGTGGCTATTTATCAGGAAGATATAATGACTTTAAATTCATATGTACCTAACAACAGAGCTCCATTGTAGTGGGAAGGGTGTAGCTCAAGTGGTAGAGCTGCATGCTTAGCGTGCAGGAGACTCTGGGTTCCATCCCAATACCTCCTCCAAAAATAAATAAATTATTAGTGCTCCCCCAAAAAATGTTTAAAATAAATAAAATTAAATTTAAAAAGACAGAGCTCCATTATACACATATCAAAAAATTAACAGGATGAAAAGGGGAAGAGATTGCAATAATAATAGGCAATGCAATAATAGTAGGCAATAATAATAGTTGGAGGTTTCGATATCCCCCTTTCAGTAATGGATAGAACAACTACACAGAAAATTGTAATATAAATAGTTGAAGAACTCTATAAACCAGCTAGACCTAGCACATATCTAGTGAATACCCAACTACAAGAGAACACAAATTTCCCTCAAGTACGCATGTAGAATATTCTCCAAGATAGACTGTATGCTAGGTCAAAAAGAACAAATTAATTTTTAAAAATTGAAATCATACATAGTCCCATGTATAGTCTGCCTTAAACTGACGAGAGAAGACATATCTACATAATTATTCCCTATTGATGGTTCCAGAAAACATGCATTTGGCCTCCCTCATACTCTGATCCTTATTCAGAAAGTAATTGTGTTTGGGCTTACTTTGTGTAGAGTCTTGGAGGTACTTTAAACTCTAACACTAGTTACTAAAAATTCACAGATATTATTGATTTATATTTTATCATTGTTGATTTTATTACTAACACTTAATAAATGGAGTAAATTAAGCAAATTAAACAGGTTTATTGAACATTGACCAGACTACCTACCAGAATCAGGGATACAATTTGCAGCCTATATTCTACGTCAGATTTATGTTTGCATGATTGTAGTCTACCAAAGCCATTGCCATGTTATGAAGCATAACAGATCTCTTTCCAAAAGGCAAGCAAAGATTGACCCTTAAAAACTTCACTGAAAATGGTCTCAATTCTATAACTTCCTGTGACAATGTGAGAATTACAGAAAGCTCCCTGTGCAGCTACAATGCATGAGATGGATTCAAGTGCATATTGTCAATGAGGAAAGGAACAGGAAGTAATACAAAACTGAGAAGGAAAAATTACACCCTCCCAGAGCCTTATTCAAATACTAAGTATCAGGAAAGGATGAGACATTAAAAAATAGTATTAAGTGGTGAGAAAAAAAAGTACCATCTTGCTAATGCCTTTAGTTAAAGTTTGGATGTCTCCAAGATAAGGCTTAGATGAGATCAAGGTAGACAATTGTAGACCTTGGATACGTTCACAAAAAACACATAATAGAAAAGCACTGGTTGAATATAACTTTTCATCCACACATATAAATTATCAACTATAGAGAGTGAAAGACCAACCATCTCACACACAACTCACAAACACACATGCAATCACAAGAAATCTACATAAAGAAATATGCATGAAATTATTATACATGTGAAAAGCAGAATAACTTTAATGAAAAATCAATTTTGACATTTTCCCAAAATGTAAATGGTTAAGATTGTATTCAGTTAGTAACATAGATCAAATGAATATTTTTCTAAACGGTTGGACACTCGGGCAATTCCATCAAAAAAGGTCTGCTGTTGCATGGTAGTCTAAGCTTCAGTAGTCATTACTGAACAGACATGAACATCCTTATTATGGATTAATGCAGGGGGTACACATGGTACCTCATCAGAGAACATCCTGAACAGATGAGCACCTAGAACTTCTCAGTAGAAGCCAGAAGACCAGTATCTTCCATAGCAGCATGGGCGGTAGCAGGCATAGCCATAGCCACCGTAGCCACATCCATAGCCACATCCCAGGCCACCATAGCCATAGCCCAGGCCACCATAGTAGTTGTTGTAGAAGCTCATGATGTGAGGATAAGGAGGCTCAGTTGAAGGGCAGAGTCAGTTTCTAGAGTCTTAAATTTATAGTCTGCCCAGGGCCTTATATACCAATGGAGTGGTATGTGGGGCAAACCTAAGTCACTATTGGACTCACATTTTAAACTCATTAGCATGAAGACCATCTCAGGAATTCTTCAAAAGCAATATATCCAAGCCAAGACAACTCTGCTGTGTGTCACGATGCCTATCGTGAAATCATGTGCCTTTAATGAGAGAGTCTTCTCCTAATTTGGTGGCTTGTTTATTCTAGATTCCAAATTTAAACTGTATTCTAGCTGCCATGTGACCATATAACCCCAGTAGAGTCTACCTGTTGAAAATCTTAGTTTCATTCAAAAATATCCCCCTTCTATCTGCATATATGCAGCCTTGGGAATGAACGTGTGGCTTCAAAGTGGAAAAGGACAGTGGAAAATTGATGGAGAAGACATGACAAGGTTCAGTTGTAAATCCTTGAGTGATTAATTTGTTTTGTTACTTTTATGGAGCAACATTATTCACTTCCACTTATACTGCATGTATTCATGCATTTATGATTTTATAAATGATCAAAAACCATGATATAGTCCCTTCAGTTTATATCCATGAACCATGATTATAATAGAAGTAGAAGGATTTATTCTATTACTAATTTGAGCTTAAAAATATACTTTAGAGACTGTTAAAGATTTATTGACATCGTGAACCTCTATTATAAAAAAATTAAATAGGCATGTCTCTTCTAGTATTTTGCCCAAAAGGCATTACCTCAACATTGCTATGAGAAAACAGACATACTCAAATTGAGGAACATACTACAAAACTTTCAGCTCTTTGAAATTGTTAAAGCCATACAAGTTAAGGGCTGAGAAACTCACTAATTTGTGGAGGCAAAAGCCATATCAAATCTTGGATTGGATCCTGGAATAGAAAAATAGACATCAGAGGAAAAAATATGAAACTTAAATAAAGTGTCTAAATTACTTAAGAATATGGTGCAAGGTTAATTTCTTAATTTTTCCTTGGTTATGAAAGATATTAATATAATATAAATGCTGAACACCTGGATACATTTGATTTTCAGAGAAAACAATTTTTTGTACTGGCATACCCTACGAAATGTTGGAACGTTAGATATTCTGAAATTTAACTAGGTGTCGTGTATATTCTAGGACCCTTAATCTGGAAAGTCATTAATGGACAATCACTAGGAGGGTCCATCTCTGATTTATGTCTTGCATGCTTTACAATGTAGAAAAAAGGTGGGGGAAATGTCTGGGGGTATGAAGAGTCATGAACTCAGTTTCATTTTGTAATATTTTTGATAAAAATTAACAATCTAAGAAGATGTCAAGTGATCATTTGGGTAAATATCAGACTTTGTTTTGCACAAAATAGTAATATCTCTTATGGTTACTTTAATCAAATACTTCCCCTCTCCAAACAAAAACAAAAAAAACAAACAAACAAAAACCCAAGTCAGTTATAGTCTTTAATAAATCGAGTGAGGCAATTTAGCCACACCAATTTCAGGTGATATTCTAAGAACTTAGATAACCTTGAGGAAAATGGATCATCATGTTATTTATTGAGTTGTTATTGGAAACTTGTTCTAAGTTATTACTTGATTGACTTCATTTTGTGATAGTTGAGGCTACTTTAATTTTCTGTATGGGAAATTTGAAAATGATAGAATAATGTTTTATAATTCTAATAATGAGATTCTAATGAAAATGATTTACAGATGCTTTATAATTCTAATACTTCAACTCAGCATTTGGTGAATAACATTCACAATATTATATCTGCTTATTCTATTTTACATAAAAAATCCTACCAAATACCCACATGGAAAAAACATTCAAAACCACATGCTGGATGAATAGATGAATGTGTTTGATCCGATTCTTAGTATGAAAACATTCTGCTTTGCTAAGAAGGATTTTTGTGAGTTATCAGATATACTTCTCAGGACAGATGAATTAGAAAATTTAAGAAATCTGGCTTCATTCTTATGATCTCCAGAGGGGAATTGGCTAAAATATAGGGGGTGTCCTACATCTGCTGCTCTCTGTCCCTCTTTAAGGTTATGAGAAGATGTAAAGATAATATTTTGACTTAGAAATATCATTGGAATAACAGAAATCTACTGACAGATTACACATGTATTTGTGGATAATGCCACCTCACCACATATATTCTCTTAAGGACTCAAAGTACATTTTAACTGTAATATGAACTAGTCTCATTTTTCTGTTGCCTCCCAATGGGAGGGATTATAATACTGATTTGAAAAAAGACAGTAATAATGCTAGGACTATACAAGAGTACTCAGTATGACTGGTACAATGTGAGTCATGATTATACATATTGGTAAAGAACCAGATTTGTGTTTAGTACATTAATAAATGTAGATATGTGATGTTACCCTATTGGAAATTTAAAATATAACTCTAATATTAATGAGAAAACTAATTTGTATGAATGTATAGTCAATTTAGAGAAAAAAACAAGTGGAAATTGGAGAAATCAGATTTTGAAGAATAACTTCTGTATGTAGTCCTCCACTAGAAACTGAACATGAGTTTTAGACTCATTGGCATAAGTAAAAAAATATGCATTTTTGCTCAGACTTGTTTTTTCTAGAAATTTTGATTAGTTAGATTATTATCAACATCATGAGCATGAGAGATACGTTATGGTTTCAATATAGAAAATAACTGAATCCTTGAAGAGGATACTCAGTTTGGATCAAAAAGAGAAAAATGCAGAAGTCAAAGGACTGTTAGTCTTATGAAAAAAAAATGTGAAACTGGGGCCCACGTCAAATAAGAGTGAGACTAAAAAATATCATCTCTGTTGTTAAAAAGGATGGTTCCCAGATGTCAAAATGAACGTGTAATTTTGGGCAGACTGTGTAGGTGTGAGTAGGTGTCTCATTGAAACCCTGAATTGGATAAGAGGAGACCAAACTGAGAAACCAAGATGGCAAGCTCCCTGAATTTCTCTGAAGCTTTATCTTATGGTTGAGAAACAACAAACTAATTAGATTAGTCATAAAGTTTGGCAACGTCATGAAGGTGTGGTGGGTCACACCCACACTGAGGACATATAAAAGGCCCTCTGCAGGGAGACATGTCCACCCTGAAGTCACACTTCTACTC